CCCCAACGGGGCCGGCGGTCTCGCTCGCGCGCCCGTGGTCTCGCGGAGGTCGGCGACCCCGAACCCTGATTTACATGCCGGTGGCCCAGATGGGGCCGCGCGGCCACAAAGTGCCAGTGGGCGGTAATTCTCGGAACCACTACCAGCCATTAATTACCGCTAAAGAGAATTTTTGGAACCGTCAGCGGCCGTCAAATGCCACTAATTGGTAGATCTCGGGCTGTCAAGTGCCGCTGCATTACTTTGTTTAATTTTCGGGGCCACCAGCAACCATTAATTGCCACTAAGTAAATCGTAATTCTCGGAGCGGCTAGCGGCTGCCAGGTGCCGCTAATTGGTGCTTCTCGGAGCCGGCGGCGGCCGCTAGATGCCATTGAATGGTAATTTTCGGGGCCGCCACAGGCCGCCAAGTGCCATCGAGTGCCGCTAAGCGGCCGCTGCAGGCCGCAAGCGGCCACGAGGTGCCGCTGCGCGGCAGTTCTCGGCGGTCGCGATGGTCAGTCCGAAGTTCCCTGCAGAGCGCGCGTAAATTTGGCAAGATTCCACGCGGCCCCGAGAAACTTGGCGGCGGCGCTGGCGGCGGAGGGGGGCGCTTTCCAAGGGGTGGCGGAAGGCCGAGCTGAGCTCGCGTCGGCCAAGGCAGCGCTTGCCAAGCAGTAGCGCGACTCTGGCCCGCCAGACGATGACAGCGACGATCAGGGCGGCGACTGGGGCGAGGGCCCCAGCGATTCCGACTCGGAGGGCGACGAGGACGAGTCGTTTGATATGGAAGACAGCGGCGCAGGAGACCGTCGGCACGGCCGATGCGATGGGCCACCTGGAAGTTCGCCTCCCGGCGGTGACTGAGGCGGCGCCCTTCCTGACGGAGTGCCCCCCCATGGGGCGATGCTGGCAGGGCGGAGAGGGTCGGCGTCGAGCGCGTCCCCGGCGCAGTCGGCTGTAGAAGGTGGAGCAGAGGAGTTGTCCGCCACGTCGCGTCGCCCCCCCCAATTGGCAGTGGGCTACAGCGTGGGTCATGGAAGCGTTCAACATCCTGAAGGTCAAGGCCGAAGCGTTACTGGGCTCTGGAAATTTCGGTCGCCTGGATTCAGTTGTCGCTTCGGATATGATGGGCAAGAAAAGTTGAAACTCGAAAGGCCGCGAGTCGCCGCCGCCACTTCGTCATTTGGCTAGCGAGATCGACCGCCTCGATGCCGCTATGTCGAAAATGGGGGGTCGTGCAATTACTGCGAACCGTTGCCGTTTATGTGGCCGCCCATGAGGATCATGGTCAGGCGCGCGCGTATCAGGATTTTATGGACATCGAGATCCGCGGCGCGGGCATGGAGGCAGACGCCGATCTCTATCCATTCTAGGACGAGCGGAAGACGAGCATGAACGAGATTGGCAAGCCTCACAAATCATTCCGCCTGTCCGTCCAATCGCAAATTTCTAAATAAACGCGTGCTCGCGCATGTCCATGATTCGCCATGTGCGATCACAGCAGCGACGAGCATGGTAGACGGATGCAAGTATACGAGTGGTTGCTGGGTCAGGTTTGCAGGCGCGTTCAGACGGGCCGAGGCTCCCGCGGCCGCGCCGCCCAGCGAAAATAATTCAACGCCGGCGGCCTCCCTGCGGGGGGCGCGGGCGGCAGTGGCGGTGGGGTTGGCGGGGGTAGCGGTCGGGGCGGAAACATTGGAGGAAAGGGTTCCTTCTGCGTGGAGGAGAGCCGCCTCCAGAAGCCGGCGGGGTGCGTCAAGTGCACGAAAGGGGCCTCTTCTCGCGCGCGCGACGTGTCCTTGCGCGCACCCCAGGGGCGGTCCCCTGGCCCGGGCCGCGCCAGCCTCGTCTGACGCAGCCTCAGGCAGCGCGGGTGGCGGCAAGGGCGAGGACGAGGAGATGGAGAGGCCGAAGTCCAAGGGAGAGGGGGAGAACAGGGGTTTCGGCAGGGGCCAAGACCGTGGAGACGGCAAGGCGAGTGGAGGCCGTGACCGCCAGAGATCCAGGAACCGCCCATTCGGCGTGAATTCCGCCGAGAACAGGCTGTGCTACGCGTTCAGCAGGGGCCCCTGCCCACTCCCGCAACATGGGGCCCCTGCCCACTCCCTGCCCACTCTTCAGCAGCGGAAGGCTACTGCTGAAGAGAAGGTTACTCGCGTGGGGCGCGTCTTGACGGGGCCGGGAAATCCACCCCCTGCAAACATGACGCCGATCAGATCTCCGCCGCAGCTCAAAACATCGAGAGAATGCTGTTCCTCGCGGGATTGGCGACGGCGCGGCGAAGGGCAGTTGGGGAAAAAGACAAGGGTCAAGAAACGAGGCAATGCTGGAGGCATCTGGCCGGTCAGACCTGCCCCTTTGGAATGGACAGGGGCTGGGCCGACGCCCCGGGGCGCCCGTGGCGAGGGGCGGGGTCGTTGCTTGGTGGCGGTGTCACCGACGCCGGCCTAGGCGGGACCGATGCAGGTGCCTGTTCAGCCCCGAACTGGGGCGCAACGCTGTGCGCTGCCCCCGCAGTTTTCCACAATGGAATAGGATTCCGCCCGTTGCCCATGGGTCGCGTTGATTGCCAGGGCAGAGGTTCAAACAATTTTGACTACCTAGGTGCTGGTCGGGCTTCCCCAGCGGCTGGACAAGACGGCTTGATCATCGACCCTTACGTCCGACTGTTGCGGGGCACCCAGGCTGGGTGGGGCGAGGATGAGGAGGAAGAGGGATGATGAGGAGGAGGGGGAGGAGGAGGAGGAGGAAGAGGAGGAGGAGGAGGAGGAGGAGGAGGAGGAGGAGGAGCAGGAGGAGGAGGATTATGATGAGGAGGAGGTAGAAGAGGGGACGGAAGCAGACAATTAGTTCGACGAATCAGAATAGTACGAGTAGAACTAATGCATAAGAATAATGCTCAGGATACTCATTACAATAGTAACTATAACATTCTTAATGAGACGACTAATATTAAGACGAATAAGAATTTTATTACAAACATCGTGCGGACAATACCATACCAAGACTAATACTAGTACGAATGAACAGACACTTATACAAGACGTAATACAACGAAACGTATTATTACGCAGTAATAAACGACATATCTTACGACTACTACGGATAGTAATATGACGAACGATAATAGTAATGCGACAACTAAGCAGGCAATTGAGACACATAACGGTAATACCTTGAACATCCATGTTATGACAAGTACTTGGAATAACACGAAATATAACAAGGCGATTGCTAATCCACATAATAAGACGACTTCTAGTACTTTGATTGCGAGGAACATGACGAGGAAGGGGAGGAGGAGGAGGAGGAGGAGGAGGAGGAGGAGGAGGAGGAGTAGGAGGAGGAGGAGGAGGACGAGGAGGAGGACGAGGACGAGGAGGAGGAGGAAAAGGAGGAGGATGAGGAGGAGGATGAGGAAGAAAAGGGGACGGAGGAGGAGGAGGAGGAGGTGGCGGATGAGGAGGAAAAGAACGAGGAGGAGGAGGACGAGGAAGGACGGAAATGGAGGAGGAGGCGGAGGAGGAGGAGGAGGAAAGGGACGGGGACGAGGAGGTGGAGGAGGAGGAGGAGGAAGAGGAGGAGGAGGATGAGGAAGAGGAGGAGGAGGAGGAGGAACTGGAGCAGGAGCAGGTGGATGAGGAGGAGGAGGAGGAATAGGAGAAGGAAGAAGAGGATGAAGAGGAGGAAAAGGAGGACGAGGAGGAAGAGTAGGAAGAGGGGGAGGAGGAGGAAGAGCAGGAGGAGGACGAGGACGAGGAGGAGGACGAGGACGACCTCGAGGATGAGGGCGAGGGCGAGAGGACGAGGACAAGGACGAGGAGGAGGAGGAGGCGGACGAGGAGGAGGAGGAGGAGGACTAGCCATACGAATGCGGATCACAACGTCAATACGCATACGAATGAGAACAGCACGAGTAATACGAATAGGCAGAATAGTCATACTAGTACTACTAATACAATTGAAACGTACTACTCATATCAATATGAAGGAGGACACGTAATAGCACGAGTAAGTATAACAATGCGAATAATAAGAGTAATTATATTATGACTAAGAAAAACAACGTTGATATTTATTGTGAATGGGGGCATACGAATACTATTATCATTAATAATGAGAAGACGATGAGTAAGATTGATATTAAGACTGTGAGCCATACTACAGGTTACTACGACTTTCAATTGTACTTTTTATTATGGGGGTACTAACGCGATTAACAAGACAAGTACACATCCGACTACGAAGATACGAAGCGGAATAACACGTTTGCGAATGATTGTAATAATAATCAAAAGGGGTAGTAATATTCGTCATGCTAGCACTCGTATTAATCACAAGATCATACGGGTATGGATCTTCGTAACATTCAGGTTTAAAAGACGCAAGGATACCAGCAGCAACAATAAAAATAATGTCACTAACACTGATAATATACATTTTAATACCATGAATAATAAGAACGGTATGGCTAGTACCACATAGGACTGATACGACATATAAGAGCAAGACAATTGACCACACTGTCAATACTAATAATGCTTATTACAAACCACAATGATGCCACTAATAATAGTGATACGACGAATGCGACTCACAACATCAATTACACTAATCATCATGATAAACGAATGGAGAAGACAAATCCGAATCACACATACAGAGGAGGAGGAGGAGGAGGAGGAGGAGGAGGAGGAGGAGAGGAGGAGGAGGGAGGAGGAGGAGGAGGAGGAGGGAGGAGGAGGAGGAGGAGGAGGGAGGAGGAGGAGGAGGAGGAGGAGGAGGAGGAGGAGGAGGAGGAGGAGGAGGAGGAGGAGGAGGAGGAGGAGGAGGAGGAGGAGGAGAGGAGGAGGAGGAGGAGGAAGGGGAGGAGGAGGAGGAGGAGGAGGAGGAAGAGCAGCAGCAGCAGGAGCAGCAGCAGCAGCTGCAGCAGCAGCATCGGCGGCAGGTAGCGGCGGCGGAAGCAGCAGCAGGAGGAGGGGGAACAGGAGGGCCCCGCGGTCGCCACCTCCCGGCAGGAGCCCGACCCGGTCGACTGCCGGCTCGGGGACTGGGAGGATTGGGGCGCGTGCGGCAAGTGCGGAGGCCCCGCCCCGCCGGCCGCCCGGGGCTGCTTTCGGGGCGCCGCCCGCGGCGCGCCGCGCGCGCCAGGAAGGGCGGCTCAGCCCCTGGCGCTTCTTGCGCCAGGGAGGGAGGCCCAGCTAAGGGGCCACGTGCGAACCCTGCCCCTACCCCCCACGACTTCTGAGGGGGAGGGTGGGGTTCATGTCGCTCGCTGGGGAGGCCCCGCGCCGATCCGAGGAGTCCGAGAGTCTCTGTTTGCGCCGCTGCTCCGCTCCTCGGTGGCCGCGGAGAGCCTGCCGCGTCGGCTCGTCGGTGGTCGCGGCCGGCTCGTCGGTGGCTCACGCAGCGGCGGGGCGGCCGCGTCGGACGGCGGCGGGCGGCAGCGGTCGGCGGGTCGGCGGACGGCGGCGGGCCGGGGACGGCGGCGGACCGCGGCGGTGTGCGACGGCGGCGGCGGCGACGACGCGACGGCAAGGAGGAGGAGGAGGAGGAGGAGGAGGAGGAGGAGGAGGAGGAGGAGGGGGGAGAGGAGGAGGGGGAGGGGAGGAGGGGGAGGGGGAGGAGGGGGAGGGGGAGGAGGGGGGGGGGGGGCAAGAATCGCGACGGCCAGTCTGCGCGTCCATTTCGGCCTCGGGCGGCCGTGTCTCCCAGCTCCGGGGCCGTCTTCAGAGCAGGGGGTTCGCTTCGATCCGACCGATCCGATTCGACATCGATATTTTGGCTGGCCGATCCGATTCGGTTCGGATATATCCGGTGGCCCGATGCGACCCGATGTTTGCATGGCGTGTTTGTACATCTTGGCGCAGCCGATCCGATTCGGTTTCGATTCCGTGCCGATGCAGCCCGATCCGATGCTCATTTCGATGCGATCCGACTTACCAATTCGATGCTGCCTGAGCTTGCAAACGAATGAGGACAACAAGTTTGCCCCAGAGAAGGGGTCGAAGGCCCAGGGGCCGAAGTCACGCGCAAAAGTGCAAGCTCGGAGCTGGAGACCCCGCTTGTTGTGTGGTGTTATGTTGTGCCTGAGCGTGTGTGTGTGTGTGTGTGTGTGTGTGTGGCTGTGCGTGTGTGTGTGTGTGTGTGTGTGTGTGTGGTTGTTTGTGTGTGTGTGTGTGTGTGTGTTTGTGTGTGGTGTGTGTGTGTGAATGTGTGCGCGTGTGTGCGCGTGTGTGTGTAGATGAAAACGCGGATATGACGGACGACGGAGCGCTGCTTGCGCATACCTGGGGTGGGCTTGAAACGGAGGGCCTGCAGAATTGATCATGAGGCGGACTTGCACACTTCGTGTTGTGGTGGTTTCGCGTATTGGCTCTTTCCGTGACGGGTTGGTTACACATTCCCTGAGCAGATTGGTTGTTTGGGCTCTACAAATGATCTATCTTCTGAGACACTCGGAGGTGTTCTGCCGGATCCAGAATTGGTCGGGCGACGTTGTCTCCCGTTGCCTCCGATTGGTTCCCGTTGTCTCCCATTGCCTCCTGTTGTCTCCCGTGGCCTCCCAGGTCCTCCCGTGGCCTCCCATGGACTCACACTGCAGTTCCTATCCTTATGCCTGTCCCTCTGCCTATGTCTCTATCCCTTATCTCTCTTTCAGCCTCACCCCCAATATCACTAACCCCCTATATCCCTATTCCTAACCCTTTCCGCATCCCGATTCCCATCCCCATACCCCTATCCCTACATCCCTGGCCCAATCTCCCTATCCCTACCCCTCTCGCTATCCTGATCCCCCCATCCTGTCCCCCCATCGTCGCCCCCCCATCGTGGCCCCCTTCGTAAATGGGAAGGGCCGATTGGGGTCTTCTTCCGCAAGGGTGCCAGATCTTTTTCGGTGTATGAGCACAGTGCTGTTTTTAGTTGCGCCTTGGCAGACACATGTTTTCCATGTGGGGCATTCATGAGTCTGTTCGTTTCTTGGCGATGGTGCTTTCAGACAGTCGCAGTTTGCTGGCGACCTTGGAACCAGGAATCTTGTGATCGGTTTCGCATGCTGAATGGATTCAGCAGCTGAAGCTCATATAATACATATACTCTGCCGTTACTAAAGTTTTTTACCATTCTTGCAAATCCCAACCCCGGACCTGCGGCCAGCGCGCCCTCGGGCAAAATTGAACGACGGACATATGCCCATGCAGATCCGAAGCCGCTCCCCCGTAAAACACAGGCGGAGTAAGTTCCGGAGGACGCGGAGTATGTTTTCTTCAGCTAAAACACAACGCGGAGTAATTTCAACAAGAACGCGGAGTAGGTTAATCCACGTCAAAAAACGTGGGGAGTAAGTTTGTACACCGTAGTCAATCTATAATACTCAGGAAAAACGGTGTGGGCGGGATCCGAAACCTATTCCGCGACAGGCGGATGCCATGTTGTAGGATTCTGAGGGGGGAGGGGGGTCCGTCGACGAAATGGTCAAAACTTTGGTAACGACATTGTATATATGGTGCGTGTTCTACAAGTTCATATACACGTATATCAGAAGTTCCGGGCGCGTGAGGGAGAAGGAACCAGGAGCGAGGTGCCAGAAGTGAGGAACCAGGAGCGACGAGTGAGGGTCGAAGAGGAGGAGGACGCTTAAGAGAAGAAGGAGGAGGAGGGAAGGAGGAGTACGAGGAGTACGAGGAGGAGGAGGAGGAGGAGGAGGACCTTCGATTGGGTGGGTTGCGCAAAGACAGCCTGCCCAGGCAGTCCTGGCTGGCATTTACAGGCCCCCCGAGTGGTCCAGGGCGCTCTCAACTTTCCAACCCTGGGGCGCGGAACGCCACAGGGGCGCCGCCGAAGGGGGCGCCAGGGTGTTGAGACCGCGGGGGGCCCAGCTGAGGCCCACCAAGACTGCCTCGAGGGGCTGTCTGTGCGCAACCCGAAGCCTTACTAATTGAGGATCCTGAAACTTCCCGGGGGCCAGTGTTTTGTCCGGGGTAATCTGTTGACGCTCCCGGGGCCCAGTGAGAGCCCCCGGAGGCCGAAAATCAGCCAAAAATTTGTGCCGGTATTTCTTTGCACAGCGAAAGAAGGACGGAAGAGGATCCTTGATCTTCCTCCGTCCTCGATCCTTTATCCCCGCTGCCCGTTCGCGCCTTTGGGGCAGCAGCCAGGCCAGCGCAAGCGGGCCCGCTCCGTGAAGCAGTACGCCGAAAATGGCGGTGCGGGCTGCGACGAGTTCGTCGGGGAGGAGGGGGGCAACCGGCCGATCGGTCGGTGCCGATTCGGGAGGAGGAAGAGGACGAGCTGGAGAAGGAGGAGGAGGACGAGGAAGAGGAGGAGGAGAAGGAGGAGGAGGAGGAAGAGAAGGGGGATGAGGATGAGGAGGAGGATGAGGGGAATGAGGAGGAGAGAGGGGATCTGGAGGAGGATGGAGAGAGGATGCTGGATGATGATGATGATGGTGGTGATGATGATGATGCTGCTGCTTATGCTGTTGCTGGTGCTGGTGCTGATTCTGATGCTGATGCTGATGACAATCATGATGATGCTGATGATGATGATGATGATGATGATGATGATGATGATGATGATGATGATGATGATCATGATGATGATGATGATGATGATGATGATGATGATGATGATGATGATGATAGTAATGATGATAATCATGCTGATGATGCTGATGATGCTGATGATGATAGGGCGATGCTGATGACGATTATGACGACGACGATGACGCTGCTGCTGATGATGACGATGATGAGTATTGTGATGATGATGATGACGCTGCTGCTAATGACGATGATGATAACAACTGGGAGGAGGATGATGACGATGGTGATGCTACTGTAATGGTGATGGTGGCGATGATGCTGATGATGATGAAGACGATTATGCTGCTGATGATGCTGCGGAGGATGATCTGAGGATGATGAACGGGATTATTTAGTTGATGATGGTGATGGTGATGATGATGCTGGTGATGACGATTATGATGATGATGATGACTACGAGGATTATGTGGATGATGCTGATTCTGCTGCTGATGATAATGATGATGATGATGCTGATGATGATGATGAGGTGAGCCAGGGAACATGCTCAGAGAAAGATGATGCTGATGCTGCTGATGATGACGATGATGATGATGGTGAGGAGGAGGGGTGCGAGCATGTAGGACACACCTTGGATGTGGTGAAAACAGAGGCAGAACCTGAGGATTGTTAGAATAACGCAGGAGTATGCGGATGATGATGACGATGCTGATGGTGGTGATGATGAGGATGATGATGAGTATGATGATGACGATGTGGATGATGACGACGATGACGCTGCTGATGATGCTGCTGATGATGATGATGCTGATAATGATGATGAGTAGGAATATGCTGACGATGTTGATGGCGATTATGATGATGGTTATGATGATGCTAATTAGGATGCTGATGATGACAATGACGATTCTACTGATGATGTTGATGGTGGTGGTGACGATGATGGCGGTTGTGGTGATGCTGGCGATACGATGGACTGAGGTGCGGCTGTGATGACGATGTTGATGATGGTGATGCGGATAGTGGTGGTGGTGATGATGGTGCTGGTGGTGGTGGCTGTGGTGATTGTGATGGTGACGATGATGATGACGTTGATTAACCCCGCGCCGATGATAGTAAAGGACCCCCCCTTTCCACGCTAGAGTTGATTATCCACGGCCAAGAAGAGTTTTGTCAGGGGCGCGGGGCGCGGAGGCCGAACTTTTTTATCACTGTGAAAAGTGCACCATCGAGGTTAACTTTTTTCTCATGTTGAGATATCCCATGGGGGTCAAGCATGATGATAATACTGATTCCCATTGTTTGTTTACAAGTTGAGTCTAATAGGTTTGGAACTTTGGAATCATCTCCTCCTCCTCCTCCTCCTCCTATTCCTCCCCCCCCTCTTCTCTCGCTTTCTATGTTTCTCTCTCTCTCTATCTCTCTCTCTCTCTCTCTTTGTCTCTGTCTCTCTCTCTGTCTTTCTCCTTCTCCCCCTGGCCCCCTGAACTCTTGTATCGCTGTGGTTTACTATCCACGGAAACCGAGGCACATGAGGCACCCTACACGAGCAGATGAACATCTTAATTTCCTTTGTTTGTTTACAAGTTGAATCTAATAGGGCTGTAACTTTGGATTTTCTCCTCCTCCTCCTTTTCCTCCTCCTCCTCCTCCACTCTCGCTTTCTGTTTCTCTCTCTCTCTCTCTTTGTCTCTGTCTCTCTCTCTCTGTCTTTCTCCTTCTCCCCCTGGCCCCCTGAACTTTTTTTTATCGCTGTGGTCTACTATCCACGGAAACCGAGGCACATGAGGCAACCTACACGAGCAGATGAACATCTTAATTTCCATTCGTTTGTTTACACATTAAATTTAATAGGTTTGGAACTTTGTCTCAAGCGAAAAAACACTCGAGGATGTCTTAAGTGAAGCGAGAGATTTGTCGAGGATGTCTCAAGCGAAACACACACGCTTTCTCGGGCCTCGATCTTCGTTCCTCGGACCTCGATCCTCGATCCTCGGACCTCGCCGCCGTCGATCCTCGGACCTCGATCCTCGACTCTGGGATCTCGATCCTCGATCCTCGGACTTCGATTCTCGATCCTCGATCCTCGGCTTTCGGTCCTCTTAACATCATCTCTTTCTCCTCCCACATGCTGGCCTCCGGTAGGCAACATTTATAATCCCCCCGCGACCCCGAACTTTATTATCCCTTTGGGATTATTCTCCGGGGCACAGGGTTATGGAGATGCTGATGCTGATGCTGCCGATGATGATCATGATGACGTTCATGGTGATGGTGAGGACGGCGATTATAGCAGCAATGCCCACGACTACGATGACAACGCCGACGACGACGATGACGATGCTGGTTGTAAAGATGTGTTGATGATGGTTGTGATGATACTGGTGGTGGATGTGATGTTGATTGTGGTTGTTGTGGCGGTGGTGACGTGTTGCTGCTGCTGATGATGATGGGAATGGTGATGCTGATACTGATGAGGACGACGAGTGCGACAATGTGTAAGAACTGGCGGCTGATTGTACTGACTGACGTTGCCGATTGTGATTAACAGTGCTAAGGGTAAGGTTGTTTATGCTGCTAAGTTCTGTATGTCCTGCCGTACGTAACACATGGCAGTGCACGAAAACGATCAAAGCGAATGCCACGACGAGTTTTAGTTTCATCGAACGAGGAGGGCGAGGAGGATTATACAAGGGCGAGAACGTTGAGCACGATTACGAGGAGCACGACCAACCTTACAAAGACCGGAGGCCCTTCTCGGGAGGGCCTTAAGGGAATTTTGCAAGGACGTAGTTATACATGTGTATTGCTGCTACACTACCACAGCGCAGCTACGGCTCGAGAGTGGCGCAGCGGACCCTTCCTGGCTGTACAGGTCTCAGCTTCGAGGCATTATGGAACGCATCTGACAATTCGCCGTCGACCTCGCGTTCTCTGATAGTTGCGTGCGTGTTCAGCAGTGCCCCCATGCCCTCAGTCGCGCGTTACGGCTCGCCTATTGCAGGTTGGCTAGAGCGTTGCCCCTGGAGTTTTGAATTTGCCCCTTCTCCTCGTCCTTCTCCCTTCACTCCTCTTTCCTCCTCTTGCCCTCGTCCCGCGCTTGGTGCGACACGCTGGCGTCCAACCGGCAAGGGTGCTGCCAGATGCTGATTTTTTTCGTCTAGTTGCTCATTCGCACTGTGTGCCTCTTTTGTAGTTGCTTTGGCGTTGACCTTCCAGGGCAAGCCACAGGTGCCGCCGCAGCCATTCTCTGGTCACGTTGCAGCTGGCAATGTGACATTTTGGATATACCAGCCTGTCCTCGATTTGAGGCGTGGTTTTTCTCTTTCCTCCCCTGTCTCCTCCCCCTTGGCTTCCCTCCGGCTCATCCCCCCCGTTGCTCCATCCCGTCTCACCGATACGATGCAGGGGAATGTCGTATCCCACGATTTTGCTTGATGACCGTTCTCCCAAGCAGTGGCGAGTACCAGCGTGCTGGGTTCCTCCGTGTAGGTTCCGTTCGTGCGGAACCCGAGCCTTGTTCATTCCGCGCTCTGCTCTGTCCACTTCATCCCCAAGCCCCCTGGAGAAGATGCGGAATACGTTTAACAGGCAAAAAGTACGACAACGAGGAGCACGAGGAGAAGTATGAGAGTCGGTGCGGAGGAAAGTAGCGGGAGCAGCAGTGAGGAGGGTGATGAGGATAGGACGAGTAAGATATGGACGACGAGGGGGAACATCGGGCATGCTATGAGGAAGCTCCTTGAGAGGTTGAGGATATGAAGGACGTTTAGGAGGGGGAGGAGGAATCAGAGAAGGATAAAAATACGGGGGAGGAGCAGGCAGTGCGGCATGACATTGTTGTCGATGACGATGATGCTGATGCTGATGCTGCTGATGATGATAATGATGATGATGATTGAGATGTTGATGCTGGTGAGGATGATGCTGATGCTGCTGCTGCTGCTGATGATTATGGGGCTGATGATGGTGATGATGATGATGATGACGATGGTGATTTGAAAGATGCTGCTGATGATGACGCAAAGTAATATTAATCTTGTGACGGATGATGATGGTGATGACGACGATGCTGCTTGCGATGATAATTATGCAGATGATGATGACGATGATGATGATACTGGTGAAGGTGATGGTGTAAAAGGTGGTGAGGGTGATGGTGACGTTGATGGTATTGGCGTTGGTTGTGATGATGATGCGGCTGTTGGCAATGCTGTTTCTGATGATGATAATGACGATGCTGCTGTGCTGCTGCTGCTGCTGATGATGATGATGATGATGATGATGCTGAGGATCATGATGAGGTGGAAGGGGTTGAGGCTGATGATGATGATGATGATGATGATGATGATGATGATGATGGTGCTATTGACCATGCCGATGATTATGATGATGCTGATGATGATGATGCTGCTGTTGCTGATGCTGTTGCTGATGATGATGATGCTGCTGATGCTATTGATGGTGATGTCGATGGCCATGATAATCATGGTGGTGATGGTGATGTTGTGATGATGATTGTGATGATGAAGCTGGCGACGACGATAATGATGATATGATGATGATGATGATGATGATGATGATGATGATGATGATGATGATGATGATGATGATGATGATGATGATGATGATGATGATGATGATGATGATGATGATGATGATGATGATGATAACGATGATAATGGCGATG